AGAGAGAGAGAGAGAGAGAGAGAGAGAGAGAGAGAGAGAGCGCGAGAGAGCGAGAGAGAGAGAGAGAGAGCGTTTGTGTGAGCGTGCATGCGTGCATGCGTGGGTGCGAGCGAGCGTGAAATAGGGAGAAAGAAAAAAGAAAAGTAGACAAAGATAGTAAGAGAGCGAGAGTTACACAGAAATGGGGAGGGGAGAGACAGAGAGATACAAATAGTACAAAACATGTAGGTACATGGAATGTTTGTATGGTACACGCGGACTTAGTACTCAACGTAAGCTAAGTACAATTGGATGGTCCGGGGAATGTACAGAAGCACGATGCTGTATCTTGGTCCCTAAGCACACACTAAGCACGAGACAACCGCCAGGCCATCACAGACTATTCCTCAAACAATCTGCAACCCCAGTACACTTTTATCACAACAGTATATACGTGGATGGCATAGCACCATGTTAGTTAAGCGAACCGTGCTCGCAGATGGCGCCACCATAGAGTCTAGTCGAGTGAGCAATCATTCCAGCCTTCCGCGACGGCGCGATGCCGAACTATCTCCCACTCCTTGAAACGTGGTGCGCACTGCAGGCGAGGAAGTCCGAGCTGTATCTTCCCTAAGAACAGGAACTGTCCTCGGCCCTTCTTCACCTGACACTCTAGCGGCACGCGAATGTCCACGCTATCGCGCAGCGCCCTCTTCGTCGTGAACACCGGCTCCACCTGGTGGTGGATCTTCGCAACTTTCACGCCGATTCTCGTCTCCAGCATGGAGTGGTGATGAGTCACAGACGCTATGGAACCTCTCACAGCTGCAACGAAACGAAAACAATCTCATGAGAAACACAACTTGCTAACACGTGACAGGAGGGAAAACTCGGTAATGTTTGACAGGAACACAACTCGGCGCAACATCTGAGGGAAGCAAAACTCGTAAACATCAAAGATAAACAAAACCTGGTCAATATTTTGAAAGAAACAGAACTCGGTAACGTTTCAGAGAAACAAAACTGTCGGGAAATTGCTTGGCATCGCTTGTGTTTGGATTCCTTCGTGCGATATGGGTATTCGATACTTTGCACAGCTTCTTTATCACAACCCATTACAAATTACTGATAGAGAGATATCGGAAATACTCGAAAATCAATTGATCCAATATCTAACATACAAAAAGTACAAAATGATACACATCCCCGCATTATGTTATAAACAAAGCCCCAGCATCGAATCCCTTCTTCCATCCATGAATCTGTGTCAGAAATATTAATCGAAAACGTTGTTTTTTTCATGCGACTAAAGAAGGCTTTCCCACCTCCCTCTGTCCGATCTGCCATCAATTTTCGCGCGCTTGGCAGTGTTTGCGCGCGCACATGTTATGTAGAGGCCTGGGAAGGAGACGGATCGCGGCTTTCCCATCACACTTAATGACGGGCCTCTCACTTCATCATCACCACATGTGTGATGCGCGAGTAAGTGGTTCGTCAATAGGCATTTTTTATCCGGGCTCGGGCTCACGCTGCATCAGCTGCCGTGCGCCACCGCGAGGGCCTGGGATTCGAGCCAGGTCCTGCGTGGCTCCATCGCAAGATGCCGTCCCGCAAAAATGTTTACAGTGTCAGCACTCTGTGGCAGATTCTGCTGACTGTCGACAGCAATAATTGCTTCTGCATGGGGGCAGGAGACGCAAACCTCCACCGGTTTTATATGCCGTATTATTACTATAAGCTTTACTTCACTCGTTATGGCCGGACTCATAATATGAAAGTACTATAGGTGATAGCATTAAAACGATCAGTTGTCTCAGGTTCACCTCACTCGGTGTGCACAGAAAATAATTAGTCTGTAAGTATTAAAAGTGAGCGAAGTGGTGAACTATATACTACAGGAATATGCATATATATTTTTCCTCCGTGCGGTGTACTGTGTAATTTTAAAGTCACGGCAGACCAGACGACTAAGCCTCTCTAGCTATCGGCATGCAATACACTTCAATTGAAGTTTGGCAATTACTGTATGGGGGCAGTTACACGTGTTTTCCTTTGCATGGCGTGTTTGTCCTGCATGTCTATGGGCATATATATATATATATCACGCGGCAGGTAATCCGCACTCTCAACTCTTTCTGGAATGGACGGAATGGCATGCCCGGCCACTCGGAGACGCACGAATCATCTGTGCATGTCCAGACACAGTGGTTCTCGCGTGCTAGCTGAAAGGGCGAACGCCTGCCCCCGCGAGACGGGCGAGTCAAAAAGTTTTTTTCTCCCCGGTAAGTGAATTAGTAAATATTTGCTGACGATCTCACGGCAGCCGTACAAAACTGCGGCTCCCGTCCGCAACGCCACTCGTCAAAGCTATTCATTCCCTTTTGCGAGAGCCACTCGTTTTTGTCTGAGCAAATTGTTGCGCACAAAGGCAACTGTCTCCTGACAAGAGAGACAGGGACAGAAAGAAAGGGAGAGAGGGAGAAAGAAAGAGAGAGAGAGAGAGCGAGAGGGGGGAGGGGCGGTCACGGAGAGAGATGAAATACATCGTGACCTTGCTGGCCGATAAGCGCTTGTAAGGCACGGCGTATGTTTGCGAGATGGACACGGTGACTATAGTTGTTCCTGCCAGGTACAGAACAAGAGCGTATTAATACTTAATCTGGCTCTTGATACGAAGCATTATTGCTAGTCAGAAATAAAATGCTGATGTCCGGCAATGTAACTATAATACAGCAAACTGCGCGCATACGTGTACGTGTTTATGCGTGCGCGCACGTTTCTGAGCGTATGTGTGTGTGTGCGTGGTGTGTGTGTGTGTGTGTGTGTGTGTGTGTGTGTGTGTGTGTGTGTGTGTGTGTGTGCGTGCGTGTGTGTGTGTGTGTGTGTGTGTGTGTGTCGTGTCTCTCTACTAACTACTTAGTTAGGTTCTCTCTTACGTAGAGTGTATACGTAGTCGTACGGTAGGTAAGTACGTCCGTACGTACG